ATAAAGGAAGTGATGTATTGTGATGACTCTTGTTGTTGTTGTTTCCAGGTTGCATCCTCTAGTAGGCAAAAGTGAGGGGAAAGATAATCTGAAACGTAACCTACTAAACTGCTAATTACATAAGGTGCTTACGTAACTATACGTATTACATAATCAATATTATAGTTATAAGTTGTAATAAACAGAGTATTTTTATGTAAGGTTTTATACCTTAAATGTTATTAGTTTATTTTATATAGAATATTAAAGTAAGTTAAGCGTTATTATTATTCTTATATTATTATTATTATTATAAAAGAATGTTATATGTTAACACTCTATACTTTATTAACTTAAACTAGTAATTAAAGCTTAGGGGGGGTATATTAGATACTAAAATATATTAGAAGTAGTTGATTTAGCTAGTTAAAACCCTATTTTTATATATAGTAATATCTATATTATCCCTACTATAGTAGGCTACTTAGCGTTAATATAATCTCTAATTCGCTTAGAGTCACTCTTAGGCCCCGTTTTGCAGGGGCGAAGTCACGCGCTAACAATCATTCAGGGGGTGTATTGTAGTATGTGCCTGCCCTGTGCCTTGGGTGGACACAGTGTCTGCCTTCCTAAGGTAGGTCCACGTCCCTTCAACCACCCTGGTGGAGACTTACTTACCGAAGTTGAACTTCTTCAAAGGTCAGACTTCAAACTTCGAATGGGGACTTGTATGGGTAGTGTACCTTGCTCGTATTCCTACAGGGCCTCATGTGTCTACAAAGCTCATGGCCATTGCCAATTGCGCTGAATTTACTTACCACCAAGGTCGCCAACGTCGCTACCTGGCTCATGCTGCGCAGAGATGGCTTCGCAAGGTCCTTACCAACGACGTATATATAAGACGCCGCCCTCGGCAGTTCTCGAGCCCCTTGCTCATCCTTAATTCCCAAGTTGATACCAGCTACTACACAATCAAACTAATCTTTGCAACCATGAGGAGCTACCATCTGCCTGGTCGTTCGTTCGCGCCGACGTTGACTCTGGCACCATCTTGATGCAGACCGTCTCTCAGAGCGACCCCATTCACGGTGGCTACGACAACTCCTCTCCTTCTGGCGGCGTTCCCTCTACGGTCACCGTCACCCTTCCAGCTGGCTCTGCTCCCGGCAGCATTCTTGGAGGCTACAGCGACCTAGCGCAAGCAACTGCTTCTCCTGGCCCTCTCGGCTCTCCTTCTGTGGTTACCTTGTGGCCCACTGCCCAGGCCGATGCGGCTGCGCTTGCTGCCCCCACCGCTGCTGCCACTGCTGGCTCTGGCTTACTTCCGACTCTTGACTCTGGCTTTCAGAATCCCGCTGGCGCAGCACCTGTCATTGTCACTCTCAGTCATCAGTCACTAGTCTCTGGCCTACAGCTCAGACCGATGCGACAGCACCTACTACTCCCACCGCTGCTGCCACTGATGCTGCCACTGCCGTTGGCTCTGCTCAGCCTGGCGCAGCGAGCACCAGCTCTTGCACATCGACTCTCACACCGCAGCCCATGCTGACGGCAGTCAGCTCCCCGGAACCCAGCTCGACAGAGACCAGCTCTTCTCTGCTCACAAGCACCCTGCTTAATGTTAGTTCCGAAGCTGGAAGCGACTCTGGCAATAGGCTTTGTGCCACAGTCACCATCAAACTATGGAGTCGAGTCGGGCTGAACTGGGAGTAAAGTTTTATGGACGTGAGGGTAACATATTTAATGAAAGATCAATACAATCATAAAACTTGAACACTTTATTACAAGGTTTTATAATTGCTACATCAAGAGGATTATTGTTTGAATGTTTGAAGGTCTTGGAAATGGGAGATCGTAATGACTTAACGACACTCTTCTTTTGAAGAATTTAGAGTCAAGGTCTTGGAGAACCGAACTTCAATTCAGAGCCCGGCGGAAACTTGTTATGTAGCAATGTACATATTCATCGCATAAATCTCCCGACTGTTTGCAGCCTCCAGATTTGTCAGGACCTTCTTCTCGGCGACATTTCTGCCGGCCCGGCCATGGGACCCACGTCCGACCCGGTCTCGGCGACTTTCCGCCGTAAGTCTCCCGGGATTTCGGAGACATACACTACGGCCTCGCGCCGACAAGAGACACAACAGTCACTCTGTATATAATGAAGATGGATTGCCTTGCAGAACAGCAGCTGTTTTTCTGCGCACGCAAACACATTAAAAACCTATATACATGACCTCACTATATAAATCACTTTACAAGACCCTCGCATCTTCTGCGCTGGTGAACCAAATATCTTCAAACGCAACCGCATCAATGCTTCACGACGTCCTGATCATCGGTGCCGGTCCTTCAGGACTGGCCACTGCCACCGCCCTCTCCCGCCAGCTCTACACCTCCGTCGTCTTCGACTCGGGCCTCTACCGCAACGCCCGCGCCAAGAACATGCACAACGTCCTCGGCTTCGATCACGTCCCGCCCCCCGTCTTCCGCGCCAAGGCCAGGGCAGACATCCAGGAGCGCTACTCCGCCACGGTCACGTTCGCCGACGTGGCCGTCACCAAGACCACCAAGCTCGAGAACGGCCTCTTCAAGGCGGAAGACGCGGCGGGCAAGGCGTGGTTCGGGAGGAAGCTCGTCCTCGCCACCGGCGTCGCGGACATCACGCCCGACATCAAAGGTTACGACGACTGCTGGGGCCACGGCATCTTCCACTGCCTCTTCTGCCACGGCTTCGAGGAGCGCGGGTCGGCGAGCGCAGGCATCATCGGCGTCGGCATGCTGGCAAACGTCAAGATGGCCACGCATGTCGGCTACATGGCCCGTCCCCTAGCAAAAGAAATCATCATCTACACCAACGGAAACGATGCACTCGCGTCGGAGCTGTCGTCCCTGCCTGCATCGCCATTTAAAGTAGACACACGAAAGATTGCCAGGTTGCGCATGGGCGAGAAGACCAATGCAATCATCACGTTCGAAGATGGCACTGAAGCCACGGAGGGCTTCCTTGCTCACGCACCCTACACCAAGCCCAACGGGCCGTTTGTGGAGCAGCTCGAGCTGGAGGTGGCGGAGAATGGTGACATCAAGACGTCGCAACCGTTTGGGGAGACAACCGTTCCGGGCGTCTACGCAGTTGGTGATTGTGGGAACATGATCAAGGCAGTTGCACCCGCAGCTACGAGCGGCTCGATGTGCGCGGCGGGCATGGTGGTGCCGTTGCAGAGTGAGCCTAAGATTGATTTGGACGTTGAGGACGTGGAGAAGGTGTTAGGATAGACCATCGTTGAAGTATTATTTTCCAAGATCACATAGACTTATAGAATCAAAACATTCAAGTTCAGTTAGGAGTTTCAAATGGATCATTGAGTGCAAGAATCGAAGATTTGTTGAGCTCGACATAAAGTGAGCAAAAGGCAGCTCCTTCCCGTCTATATTCAGCGAAGCAAATGTAGAAATTGGTAGAGCCTAGGTGATTTTGAAAGGGCCAAGGTCTCACGGAATTCCACGAGCTTCCATCTAATCTGCATCATGGATATCTCAGCAACACTCACACCTTGGAGCTCTTGCCTCGCGTAGCCTGTCGTCGGCTTCGGTACACACGCCCCATGTTCGAACCCCTTGTGTCTTTTGATAAACAGTCGCTGAGCATGTGATGATGCCGAGTCGGCCATCAGGTCATCCCTACTCTGGTCTCCTTTACTAGGGGGACAAGCACACGACGGTCCGCTGTTGGATGCAACCCACGATGGCACATTCGACTGGGTGCCATCCGCAAAGGAACACTCCCTTACACCCCTTTCTCTTCTACGCGGATGTAAATCATCACTCAGCTTAAGGCAACAAGATTAGATGGAACAATTCTCGCCGTCTTCACCGCCTCCAACACCCAGGCACGCAAGGAGGCCACCACACCGGTCCCAATACCGTTTTGGGGATTGATCCAGACAGATACGGGGTATCTGCTGGCCACCACGGTCATTAATTCTCTCAAAGTCATGTTACATGAGCATTGCCGGTAGCTTCACTCGACTACAGATGCAGACATACGTGACATGGACTCACCGATCTGCGTACCATGAAGCATCTCCGCCCCCGGCTAAGAATGAAAAGGGGGGCCAGCGCTGCTCAGCAGGCTGAAGGATTCTCACATGCCTCTTACGTTTTGGCGCATCTCAACACCCCTCGAATACATCGGAAATGATGTACAGTTCGGTATGCAGCGGGCGGAGGAACTTGGCAATCCGGTCTTGTCCACAATGAACTTCGTTTGGAAGTTTGAAGTGGGACAACACGACGTGATGAAAGGGAATAGCCTTAGAAACGTGAGAATCAACTACATGTAGAGGAACGAATAGCAGAGTCGACACCAGCATCTCAATAACATCTTTTCCTACGACCATTGTGCGTCTTATTCCACATTAAAACACCTTGTAACGGGCATTCTCGAAAATGTTAGTGTCACCGCATTCGATCCCCTTGCCTTCCAAAACTCCCGAGACTCCTGCATCTACGGCCCGACTCCATTTGACATGCACTAGTGCCCACATCGCCCCTCCCCATCGCCGCATGCCGTGGATTAGGCAGCAGAATTAACAACCCGCGCTCTCCTGACCGCATCCGACCCGAGAGGAGCAACGCCAGCGAATCAAGGACTTCTCTAGTATCGCTTGGAACGCCACAATTAATGGATTTGCGATGAGGTGTCGGGCTAGGGCCCACGTCTGAAGGATGTTTCAATGGACGATGGGCCCCTATTGTTTCGTGGGAACTCCCCGAAGAAGAATCTGAGCAACAACTTTTCCTGTGGTCTCTTGTACACTCTGCCTCGTTAGTGTTGTTCTTGCTATCATAGGCTCTACTGTCGTCGTTGTCGTTATCGTCGTCGCTTCTATCGTCACTTTTGTTCTTACCATCGTCGACTCTACTACTGCCGTCCTCATAAGATGATGTTCTCGAAATTATTAGTAACTTGCTCCAGACCGCCTTGAACCCATATTCCTATTTAGGGTTTCATTACTTAGCATGCAACCTTTCCAAAATAGGAGTTGTCCTCGAAAACCAGGCGGACATCTCACAAATGCTTGACAGGGCGACACAGCCAATTCCCGTAGCAGCAGCAACCTCCAAACATCACAAGAAACCATACGGAATACTACAACGTCAAACATCCTCAATACCCCCATCCCCATACATGTCTAGAAAATACCGTCCCCAGCCCTGCAAGAATCACCCAGAAATAGCCGCCTGCTTTGGCTGATGTTCCATCCCGCGGTCCCGCTGGCCGGCCCATCGCATCAAACAGCCGCTCACCTCATACGGCGTAGGCCTTCTCAGCAACTCTGAGCAATATCCCCTGGTCCTGAAGCCAGGCAAGCAAACCCGGGTTCATCCCCCATCAACCCGTGACGGAGTTCCCCTCGCTGAAGCGCGGTCTAGACACTCGTCCGACTCTCCACCCCCCCTCCCGCGAAACGAAACTCTATCAAGTAAAACAACATGGCGGGTCTCCTTGTTTTTGCGAGCATTGAAGAAGCACTAAGATTGTGTCCAGACGGAGTGTTCTGGACTCGGTCGTGGTCGAGAAGGAATGGAAACTCGGGGCACTGGATGGGTTCTATTCATCATCAACTTGACGTTTTCCCAAATGATCTGATATTCCAGTATTCATTTCACCGGGATTGACGACTGACACAAGTCAGGAAACTCGTCATTTTGTTACAGTGGCATCATGTATCCGAATCTGAACATTGCTCTTCCAATGACATAGTTCATCTGCAAGACTTTTACCTAACGTGTGCTCAGACTCACCACGGAGTTTCCTCAAGACTCCCAATGCACTTGTAGCAACCATCGGCCGCCAGAGTGCACACCGAGATTATGCACAAGACCTAGCAATGCTGTTCTTCTCCCTAACTCATAGCATTCCGAGACCGATCTCCATGGATCCACAACCAGTCTTAGTACTGCAAGTAACGTTGCCGCAAACCGGGGCATGCCCTCCGCATAAACCTTCAAGCTTCACCACCGATCATGCACTAACACCAGGAACCCCTTCGCAAAATTTCCCCACAATCCAAGACTTCACATGAGAAAAGATTTCCCTCGGAAGGGCTGGTGAGTTTGCAGTGTCTCCTCTCGACGATCATGCGCGCAGATCATAGCAGCAGGAACAGAAAAATAAGAGTTAGGTTTTGACGGGTGTCATCCCATCAGATCCCCGTCGGCTCATGGGATGAAACGGTGAGGCCGCGCGGGGCTTCCTCGACGTGGGGGTTCCAGCCAGCATCTAAAATAGAGGTCGTGTTTGAGTCAAACAGACATAATATCATGGTCACGCTGCCGTACAAGATTGAGAGAGCGATTTTGTGACAAGAAAATAGAACTGCCGGTTGAGTGTTCCGGCCAAGGTGCAGGCTTGTCGAAGCCCAACAAGGCGGGCGCTGCAACCAGGAAGCAAATCATGCACGGAGCGTCGACGGAGAGGGAGGGCGCCCGGCAAAGTCCGACCGGGACTCTGCAGACCAAGTGAGGTACGCGATGGCGAAGGAAGCATGGCGCCATGAGGTGAGATGAGGCGTCTCGGTCCCGAAGACAGAATGTGGCGCTGACGGACCTCAGCTCGTTGCCTTGAGATGGGAAATTGAAGGAATGTAGTAGCCGCCTGGCAGCCGCTGGCCGCCGAAATTGATGGTAGCTGGCGCCGTGAAGGCGCGGGAGCTATGACGGCGACGGAATCCTTCTTCGGAGCATTCTCCAAAACATGACCGGGACTTGCCCTGAGACGGTGTTAGTCGATGGCGACCGAGCTGCCAGGATTTCACGACCGCCGGCCAGTTCATCGAGTAGATGGAACTGAGGACACCCCCAGCCAGTAAGCCCTTGCAGACCTAGCGGTCTCTCTCGATCCGACCGCGGATAACGGGTTTTTGTGGGAGAATCTGCGCCAAAAAGCCGCCTGAGTCTGGTTCCCTGGCCCATGAATCCGCGACGCTGGTGACGAGAGTCAATGATAGCGGAGAAGGGCGGAAACGTTTCAAGCTGGGCGGAAAGCCGCAACCCCCTCAGCTTTGGCTGGGCCTCGCGCCTTGTCGCGTGCTAATTCCCAGGGTGTCAACCCCTCAGCTGAGAACTACATGTAAGTAGGCGCACACCCTTGTTCCAGCGATGCGTCATTTGGTAGCGCTCAGAGATCTAATTCAATATTCTCCTCGACAATATAAGCGGGGATGTTGTCATACAGTAAGGCCCTCGTAGCTAATGCTGGGGTCGCCATGAATAGACCAAGGCGGAAAAAGAGAAAAGACTCCTCCGACTGTCAATTGCCCATTTGGTGACCGGATAGTCATGGAATCGATGACTTAATGCACGAGGAATGCGAAGTGGTGTGCCACATCAATCAGTCAAATTGTTGAAGCTGTTGAATTATTGTGTGAGGCCGGCTGGTAAATGATCACTACCGCTGCCTGTGCCGAGCTGAGAAGCGCCGGCTGTATGGGATATATCCTTCAAAGCGACCCATCAAATGCGCCAATTCACCTTCCGGACAAGTATGCTTTTCAGATCGATGTCGTGACCTGACATTTCCCTCCCAATCCCTATGAAACTTGCAGAATAACGCCGTGTGCCATGCTGAAATTCATCAATAAACGTCTCCATCTCCAACTCCATTCAGTTGAACAGAAAGAGCTCTTCAGATCTTGTGGTCAAAGACCGATGTAGGCGGGGGCTTGCGTACTCCGTCATAGGTGAAACCAAAACACTCGGGTTGTAGACGGTGGCGCTGGTCAAGCTCATGTGAGGATCGTCGTGTTCAGAAACAGCCCAGCCTGCCGACTGCCTGTTGTTCAACTGAACTGGTGTTTGTGGCACGGCTTCTGCCGTTGCGGTAGCAGATGCATATGCAGAGGATGTGAGCAAGTCGTCCGCCAAGGGTGCTGTCTGCTGTCTCTCCCCCTGGTACCACCATTGGTCTTCGAAGCCATTGTCGACCGTCATCATGGCTGCGGAAAGGGCTTCCAATTCGTATTTCCTCCCGGGGTCTTCTCTGTCCCGAGGACGAGGGGCTGGTGTAACATTCGCCAAAGACACATCGCGGAACTTCATGGACAGTTCGGATGAGTAGTCGTCAACTTCTGAATCATCAGGCATGCCATATTCTCCAGGCCATGACGAAGCGGACCAAGGAAGCTCATCCTCACCCAGTCGGAACCGCGAGGGAACTTCGGGGAGGGCCTTCCAGTAGTCAGGAGCGCTTGTCGTCGGTGCTCGTGGGCGTT